CAATCACTACCAACCAACCAATTTGACATACACTTCGCGCTTATGGTGTGTATTCGAACTTGCGGCATATTTGCACAGCCGGAAAGGAAGGAAAGCAAACCTTGTGGTTTGCCCAGTTTCTGTGGGCGTGGTGCTCCTCTTCGGACATTTTGCCTTGGCTCTTTTTCACCTGCTGTTCATGATCTTGCCTGTGCCAGCTGCACCAGCTGATTTCTGGCCCGTGGGCGTTATCATAGTAGTAGGTCTATGCTTTCCGAGCTACACCGCGCTGGCATACATCGCCCTTGAGCACACCCGAAGCATTGACAAAATCCATCGCCAAGTTCAGAACTTCACAATGGAGCATGCTTCAGCTGCCTGCTGCGCTATGCAGCATGTTACTAGGGGCGGCCAGCCGATACTTTGCGACCGTGTTATCATTTCTCGTTGCATTACTTCCTGGTTCGGGTCATTGCAGAGCTTTGAAGACAATGTGCGGAGCCAGGTGCGAGAGGTTCTGGTCCACCAGTTGACGTATAACACTTTCACCTACTCCCGCCTGGTGCAGCTCACCGCCCCGGCTCTGTTTTTCAAGCTTGACCGCCTGGCCCACAGTGTAGTCCGTGACGGAAAGCTTCCCGTCGATCAAGTGCTCACAATCATAGATGACTGGTTGATCTTTCTGCCAACTCTGTTTTTGATCCATTTGCAGCTCACCTACAGGCTGCGTGGGTGTTGCGGAACGAAGCTCAAGCAGCTGTTGGCCTCTTTCTTGGTTGTTCTCGTGGGGATCTTCAGCTATGTGGTAGTCGCAGCCGGCGAGGCCGTATGCTTATTTCTCATTGAAGACATAGCTTTGGCAAGACTTGTCACCGTGCTTGTGCTTCTGCCACTTGCCTTGTTCGTGTGGTGGCGAGTTCCCCGCCCTGAAAAGGCGCTGACATGATCCCAGGATCTTTCTAGGCATCGTGATTCCTGATAGCTGCTGCATCATGAATTTTTCATGTCTAGGGGTGATCGAGGAAAGACGCGGACACTCAACCCTGAGTCAGCTTGCTTCCGGAGCCACAGTGGCTGTTGGAGAGCTTTTAATTTCTTGTGCCAGAAGGTTGTACAGTGAAGAACACTGCCTTCTTGTGGAGGGAGGAAGCTTGCACCACCTAAGATCCCCGATGAAACAGTCAATGCCCAAAGGAAAGGTATGCAAGGCGGTGCAAGACTTGCCCAAACGTGGTTTTCTCCTTCAGCTCATCCAATATGGGTGGTTTTGCCGCTTGATCTTCAGTGAATGCGAGCGAATGATGTTTGCGATGCGCATGTGTGGGTGATCCTTATGCTGATACTCCATACCCTAAACCCTAAATCCTATTGTAATTTGCAACTTCCCCTGAAACCTTGAAACCTATACCCTGAACCCTAAACCTTAAACCAGCCCGAATCCCGAAGCCCAAAACCCAAAATCCTAAACACCTAGGTGACTCACGAAGCCTTCCTGCCTTGCTGGGCGTCGCCAAAGTGAGCCCACGGCCCGGTAGCTCCTAACCTTGCCTGTGTTAGAGTCTAGGGGTTTAGGAATTTAGGGGTTTAGGGTTTAGGGTTTAGGGTTTAGAGGTTTAGGGTTTAGGGTTTAGGGTTTAGAGGTTTAGGCTTTAGGGTTGAGAGTTTAGGGCCACATGGACAAGAAAACGGAACAGGAAATGGAATCTGAGGCTATGTAGGAGTTACATGGGGAGAGCCTTGCTCTTGATTCAGGGTTTGGGGTTTAGGGTACAGCAGTAATACCATATATTATCAGTAGGACTCAAGATAGCTGTGTGGTGGGTTTAGGATTTAGGTCAGGGTTTAGAGTATCTTCCGGGCTTCTGTTGCGGAACTTCGACATGGGGCAACCCGGGCGATTTCTATGTCTTAAATTTGGGTGGCTAAGGAGAGATGGCACAAAGACCACAGTACCCCTATATCTCGAAAAAGGTGGCAAGGACCCCCCACCCCCAGACACAGTAGCCGGCTTTCTGCATCTTCTATCCTAGGCGCGGTTGCTCGTTAGCTGATTGAACCCTCTGAACTGCACTGCGTAAGTCAGGGCGCCCAAACAGCGCGGCAACACCATGGGCGGTCTTGCCTCAAGAGGAAGCAGAATTGATTGATTACAGCCGCGCAGCACTCGGAAAAACGGGTTGGAGCGTCCATGCCATTCGGCTCGAAATCGTGCTCCAGCCGCAAGTTTGGCTTGGGCGCAGGATCTGGCGGTCCCATGAAGCGTCCTCACAGCCTCGAGCTCTTGCAGCATTCCCGCGCGCGTCGTCGCTGAAAAGTGTCGAGCTGTCGTGCTGTAGTGCTCTCGCGCGAGCTTTCGCGGAGTTCTTTGGGGGCTCTGGGAATGCTGGGGTGCATCTGGAGTACTCGTTGTGGTCTTAGAAAGCATCATCTGTCCTTCGGGCCGTTCATCAAAGGCCTGTGCGGAACTCGAGTAAAGCTTCAAGGCCAAAGACCTCTTGGAACAGGCCCTGCTCTAGTTTCTGTGTTTAGAACCGCAGATCCCGAATTGAAGCCCTTCTTACATCCAGGGTTTGTTTTCTTGCAGACGAGAGAAAGCTGCTTCTAACAGCAAGGAGGGCTCCCAAGTGTCACTGTAGCAGCAGCGCTTCTTGTGTCGCACAAGAGGGGGAAGTTGTCTGTCTGACGGCATGGGCATCTTGAGGCGGAGTAACATCCTCATCTGTAAAGCCTCATAAGCTTGGTCATATGTCTTGGGTGGTTGCTTCATCAAATAAATGAGAAGCTGCGAATTTAAACGCGCACTGGTTTCCTGAGCCTGTTGCTATGTCACTGCTGGGAAGGCTAGGAATGAGGATTGTTGTGGTTGCACTTTTGACCCTGCCTGGGCGCCGCAACAGGCTCTCAAAATTACTGAAAGTCCGTATTTGCTTGTTATGTTGTGGGTGAAGTATCCGAGTTACACTGGGTCTACATGAGGTTGGGCGCTCAGGCGAGTTGAGGGTAGCTGGTTGGTTTCATCAAATCTTCTGGGCTGCTCTTGGGGAACTCAGACTTGATTATCATTATGAGGCATCCATCGTGTATTTCATCTGCCCATATTATGACAACTTAGTTCACATGCGTTAACAGCAACCCAGTCCTCCGAGAAGGGGTTGCAGGCCATGCCATGTGGTGGGGTGGATGGGTGTGGGTGGAGCTCGGACGGTGGTTCAAAGGGATAGGCTTCGGTCAAGCCTTGAACAAGGGCGCGCAGGCTGCTTAGTTAGTTAATCCATGGGCTTTGCTAACTCCACCCGTCCCCCCAAAATGAGGACCCTGTTCTAGTTCTATGACGGTCATAGAGGGGAGCTTCGCCCTCCGTCGCACGATGATGATTCCCCTGCTGTGCGAATTTTCTTGGAGCAGACGCCTCTGCTAAGCAGAGCATGTGAGCCATGGAAAATCTTTGAGGGGCCGTTGCAACTACTACAATACCATCCAGACTGTGGCTATTGCTACAGACGTGTCCATACCACGAACCCCAGACTCTGCTTTTAGCAGCCAAGCCCTAAGCCCCTAAACCCTAGACACGAACCCTTTCGTCCCAGAACCCCTAAAGGATCCAGAAAGTCGACTTTTCCACCATAAAATGAGCCTCTACTACAATAAGGAACCTGAGACCCTTATTAAGGAAACTAGGGGATTATGGGTTCCGGCTTTGTGATGGGAATCCTTAAGGGAATTCTGGCTGAACACCAAAGGCAGCCTTCAATGTCTACATGGGTTGGAGAGCTTGTCCAAGCTATTTTTGACGTCCACGGATTTATGATTTAGCTCCAATTGCGTCGGGTTGACAAAATCCAAGGAGTTTATTTATACTGGACCTCTTTTAGATCTGCGTTGACTTGAATCATGATTCCCGACAAGATATGCCGAAGCCCTGACTCTCAGAATTTAGGGTTTTGGCTGTCCGTTCTAGGCTGTTTAAACTTACCCGCGGTATATATCCACATGTCTAGGATTTAGGGATTGGGGTTGAGGGACTAGGATTTAGGGCTTAGGAGACTGGATCTGTAGATCGATTCGGTTCCCCTTGTCCGCAGTCGCCCTGACCTTCTTTCGCATGACTATCACATGGGTGGTTGTTGGAAACGTATGGAAAATGGGCTCCCTTTCTGCGCGCCTCTTAGATGAGGAAGCTAAGGTTGTACTCTTGGCAACACGGAGCTGCAGACTGTGTAATTACCTTGTTGTCATGGGAAAGGGATGAGTCCTTGTTCCATACCACATGCAAGAGACCTTGCTCATGTGACAGGTGACGGCCAGCACGTGGCAGCCAGACGCCCTGTGCTGGGTTGTTGCTAAGGAACTTACATTNNGCCCCCCCCCCCCCCTCGGTGTTCGGTGTTGGTATAACGTCCCACAGTTGCCAGCTTTCTGGAAGTGACTGTCACTTAATCAAGAGCATTTTTGAGAGGTCAGGCAGATCCCTCCCCTGTAGTTTGGTGGGTTTGCCTTCTTCCATGACAGTCAAGTAATTCAGATCTTTCCCCCCTGCACCCCCTTTGGTGCGGTGGGCGTGCTTTCTCCCCAAATTGTCAGCATTGTCTTTTGCTGGAAGCATTCAGAAGGCCTCCCTCGTGAGGGAAGGTTTTTTCCTATGTGTGAACATGTGCGAAGCTATTCAAATCTTTCCCTTACCCCCTGTGGTCTGGGTGGTGGGGGAGACTATCCTTGTGATTGTTGGCTTTTTATCTGCAACATCAAAAACAATGACAATTCGCGAATCGGGATTAGGACACCCACCAACTTTGTGAGAATTGTTGGCATTTTCGAGATGTGCGACATGAAAAATGGTGACAGTTACGAGGATTGTGATTAGGACACCCACCATCCCTATGGCTGTTGGCACTTTTGAAATCTTTTGACATCTGCGACAGGAAAAACGGTGACACTTACGAGGATTGTGTCCAGGACACTCACGATCCTTGTGACTGCTGGCACTCTTGAAATCTTTGACATAAAAACGACGACAGTTACGAGAATGGCACCTCCGGGGCCTCAAAAACGAGAACCGTTACGAGGGACACGCCGCATCCTCTGACTGTTCACGCTTTTGAAAGTCTGGGGCTGGCGGTTACGACCGTACCATGGGGGCGGCCTGTTGACGCGGGACACGACACCATACATATAGTAATTAGTATGGTTGTCCGCTTATTCTAAGTTCCTTGCCAGCAACCCGGTGTGTCTTGCAGTAATTGTTTTCTGTTCCATGTGAGGTTTAAAGGTCATAGAATGGGCGCTGCAGTGATCAAAGGCCATATGTGTCCTGTGGATGCCAGTGATGAGGCCTCTGGCAGTGGGTGGTCCCGACAGCATAAGTCAGAGCACAGCGAGTCATACCAGCAACGTCAAGAATGGTAGGTTCGGATCAGCTTTCGGACTTCATGCTTTGGATGTTCCCCTGCTGCCCTCTGGCCCCTTTGTTATGTCTGTTCTGAGCAATGCTTTGAATGTCCCTTGTTGGGGGTGCACGTCTCCGGTTTATGGTTTGGCATGTGACTGGTGTTGGGTTTGGTTTTTGCTTGGCGCTCTTGAGCGATGCGTGCCAGCGGGTTTAACATTGATACATCGAGTTTTGTATTGTTTGAGTCGGCCGGACTTTCAGCAAAAGTTCTTTCAAGCCCAAGACATGGCAGTTACATGCTAGGGTACATGGCTGGGCTTTCGATGAAGGTTCCTACCCTCTAAGATCCTCTAAGCGTTGAGAGCCAAAGCTAAAGACTGCTTTGAGAATGTCTTGAGCCAAGGCCACTACAGCTGGTATTCACCACGCGCCGGCCTTGGAAACGTTTGGGTTTGCTGCGATTTGTACTCTTACGTGATCCGCTCTCATAACTGTGGCAAGCTCTACAGGGCTGAAGCACGCTGATGGGAAGTGTTGGCTAGTAACGGCTAGTATCAAGG